TAAACTAATGTTTTTTCATTCGAAAATGAAATTTCGTTAGATACTTGATTGCATATCAAGTCTGTCGCGTGTATTCGTATGTTCGAATCTATTTGCCTTTATATACTCGTACACAGTGCCATCTATAATTTCCATTTTATACCTAAAAAGTAATAATTATTAACGGAAAGGGTATGAAAATACAAATTGTATGTTTGTTTGTTTGTTTGTGTGTGTGTGTGTGTGTGCTGTGTGCTGTGTGTGATAGCAGAAAGACGGAGTTATAAATTAAAACGTAAAGTCTAACCCAACCATTGTTCTATGGGTTAATCAAACTTTTCTATAACTTTTCTTTCTCATTTGTGTGTAGTATTCTGTGAAAAAAAGCAAACAAAATACAAAAAAAGGAAAAAAAATATATATATTAAAAAAAAACGGTGAAACGAAGCGCCAGAGTGTCAAGGTACCGCAAATGAAACAAAAAACGTTCTGCACGCATGCGAAGTAAGATTTTATTCTCTCTGTCTCTCTCTCTCTGTCTGTCTGTCTCTCTCTCTCTCTCTCTCTCTCTCTCTCTCAATATATATATATATATATATATATATATATATATATATATATCGCTCTAGTCCATTTATTCTCTTTCTCCAGTGAGTTTCACATGAGCCCTAAGATAAGCCTAACGTACTTTCTTTTCCACCTGCGAGCGTCGCCGATGCCGCGATATTTCTTTACCTTAAATGAGATCCTTTCGCTCGTCATCCCTTTTGCACGAACTCGCTGCGGTTCATTCGAGGAAACCGCGGAGGCTCTCCCAGCCAAGCGAATAGAATTCTTATTCGCTACGCTCAGTTAGCAGCGTCCAAGTACGGGACGGAAGAACCAGTTACTACAACGGGGCAAGTTAGTCCGCCGGTCAAAGAAGACAAAAAGGAAGAAGAGACGGAGAACCGCGATGCGATAAAAAGTAGTCGCGGGGCCGGTTGTAAGTAGCCTCGGCGAGCCGCTCTTGCGAAACCAATTCAATCGGCCGCTGCGTTTTAGGAAAAGAGGCATAAATCATCGGACATCCATGGAGATTTTGTGGAGAGCACGCGCATTACGCCGTCTAGGCGCCATTTCATTAGGATCTTATAAGCGCATTTGAGCTTCGGAGTATCAAATCATTGCGGTGAATGTGAGATGCCGGCCGGATGAAGCAAGGAGATAGATAGATAGATAGATAGATAGTGAGAGAGGGAGAGAGAGGGAGAGAGAGGGAGAGAGAGAGAGAGAGAGATAGATAGTTTTCTTCGCTCTGTTGCAATCGTATGGAGTAGAGTGGCCCTCCCCTCACATGCCCCCGTGCCCCCATTCCACCCAGCCCTACAACCGGGAGATGTCATTATCGTTAATCGTTCGGCTGTTTTCTTTTCGCTTTTTCCACGTTTAATATTAAAATCGTGCGCAACGCGCGAGTCTATCGTAAGAACGCAGAATGAACACGTTTCAAAACTTTACGAAGCAATGAAAGAGCCTGGGATATTGCCGCTATAACCGTTTAAAAATTAAGATTAAGAGATACTTGGGAGGAATATAATCGGTCACGTCTCTTGGTCAATACGTTGAAATAAAAATATCGCCAGTAAATAATATTTTTTCTTGTAAGAACAGTGACATAATTTTCCTATTTATTTACTAATCGAAGTGAGTTTAGATAAACGTAGCCATAAAACTATAGATAGCATGAAACAAGCAAGTTTTATAGTCAAATGTATTGCGAATATTTATTAAATGCATAATTTATTTCACTATCAATGCACAAACATTATCTTAAAAATATTTAGGATTATTTCCAATCACCAATCAACATATATTAATATTTTCTAACAAAGTATAATTATTAATTTTGTATTTGTATCCGGATGATGAAAGGTACGGTGTTGGCAGAATTAATCTGGTTTTTAAGTTTTCAATAGATTCATTTTAAAATACATAATAACACAGGATTATGTATTTAAATGGATAATTTCTGATATAAATTTTTAAACTGCTAATATTTCTTAATATTATCGCGTACGAGTGAGTCTTCGATTATTTTCCTTCAACCTCTTATTACTTAATATAATACTTGTATTCGGTTATAGCAGTGTTGCTTCCTTGGAAATGCGATTTTTCTAATACGAGAAAATTATTTTATATTTACTTTTATATATAAAAACTTCGTCTTTAAATCTATAAGATTTTAATGTTAATAATTATCAATGTTTTTGCTCGATATCTACGAGCGTCAGATGCATTACTAAATTGAAATACATATATTTCATAAAATTATGCACTGCTCTTGGAAATAGAATCGATTTTATTGAACGAAATTTATGCTCAAATGATCAAATCAAGCAAAAGTAAACTTTGTCGAGCATTGATTTTTATATAAAATTCTCTTGTAAAAGTGTAATACCATACTAACCGTAAGAGCAAAACTTTACATAATGTAGTTTAAATATCTGTATAGATTACTGCAGAAATTTAATATTCTATGCTAACCACACTCGCATAAAATGAAAAAACAACAACAAAAAGTAAATAACCGTTGTAGAAATAACTTTGTCGAAAAATTATATTAGCCGTTTATGATATTTTTCCTTCTAAGTTTATCGAATCGTCCCGAGAAAGTTCATTTTTATTTTAAATGACTCTTTTTCCATTCGTTCGGATTCTTTGTGTGTATATATATATATATATATATATATATATATATATATAATGCTGTAAAAGTACGTTCACTGACATTTGTATAAACAAGTATTTGTGCGAACATACATATGGAGCATATAGCAGCTGTAAACCAGTTCGAAGCAAACGATATACGAAGGTCCTTGCAACGTAGACTAATTAGCATCGGTGATTTACGTATTTATTCTTAACCTTTTCGATTTTATGACTGCCATTAGATTCACCGCGTGCGCAGCTCATTTTACGACGTCGCGGCAC